GCTATAACTAAATATACTTCAGCCGTTACTGAGATCGGCTTCGCAAATACGCCTGCTGGGAAAAGAAATGATGGCCAAGATGGAAACCAATCAAGAAAAGATTAATGCCAAGATAGACGCCAACCCATAGATGATTGAAGGCTGGATATACGCCAATAATGAGAAGTTTGTGGTTTATCGAGGTGGTCTCATCTCCCGGATGGATACCCACGAAACCAGGACAGTGTCCACTCAAGGAAAAATTAAAGCCAAGACGGATCTACGTAAAGAAAATATGGATGCCGCATTACACACCATCCAGTGGGTGTTAGAGGAGACCATTAAAGGTAGGGTGGAAGACGTCCTGTTGTGTATCGACCAAAAGACGCAGGGCCTCCCCAAGTTACTGAAAGAGGAAATTGATGAAACACAGGTGGGCTTACAGGTAGTAGAGGCGTCCCTCGGTATTTGGTCGAGGAACATCCAGGAAATCGTAGCAGACATGAAAATCGGGCCCACGAAGAGGCACGGACAATTAAGGTTGAACCAAGGATCAGTCATTAAGGACGGAAGTTAAGATTGAGTACAGAAGGCGGGAGTTCCAGACGTAGTTGAAAAAGTCGTGGCCGTTGACGATCGCAGAAAGAGGAAGAGGAAGCGGCGCGGGCGTCCAAAAGCCGTCTAAATTTCGCCGGGAATACATAATGGGCTGCGTTCCGGCGCCAGTTCGGGACCGCAGCAAACTAAAAGATACTTCTTGATCACAACAATATTACTTGAACGTCTGTACAGACCATCATGAAACTTAGCATATATATCACCTGAAGGAATCTCAATAGTCTACTTCATAAATTCATCCCTCCCACCACTAATACCAAGATTGAAACCTCTCAGATTGTCAGATATTAGTCTTAATAATATTTGACTGCCTGAAATGTTGTTTATGAAACTTGTATGTATTGTCACGTGTATCGGTAAATAAGACGCGGTTTTGGATTGGTAATTGGATTTGTTTTTAACCTACAGGTTGTAACCGTACGTCTCTCGCCAAAATTATTTAATTAAGGGTATGAACATCTTATGCGTTGTTTAAAACAATGAGAGACGCTCCTCCAGCGACATACCTTTCCAGGACCCGTCTAGTTGTAATTCAGCTATTGTCCTCCTTAGGCTTAGGGTTTCTCTATAGTACCTAACCTCGCCAGTTTGCTCCTGGTATCATAAACACATAAACTGACCTTGGCGAGACCTACCAGGAGGGTCTTAGGTTCCCTGATCCTTTGCCTTGAAGACCTAAAAATGTTTACGGGCTTGTCGAAAAAGGCGAATGTAGTTAAGATGCCGCCTGGAACCTTGGCTTTCTCTCTTAATTTTCTTGTTTTTTATGCCCACTGGAGGACTGGTAAAGAGAGGGCAGTTAGTTATAGGGAGCTGAGGTGGACAGTTGTTGAAAGATAGACAGAACAGAGAAGTGTTCGACAGTAGTGGTAGCGAGTGGGCGGACGAAGGGGCTGGCTTGGAGGACAATGTAAATTTTGATCATTAATGAAACTTTAAATTAAAACTGCAATACACGGTGTGTTCTGGAGCCCCCGCATTCATGAACCCCGAAGTGTGTTCCACTCACATATCCGAAGCATCCGTATCCTGAGATTAAGAACTCACGCTCGAGCGACAGTCGTGGCAGCTGTAAGTCGGCGGACGGCTACAAGGTAGTAACTACAATTAATTATTACATTATTTCTGATTTACACAATGTACAATCACGCCAGACTAATCTCTTCAGTCCGTCTGCACTAGTCTTCATGGGTTTATAACACGGGAACTATAAGTCTCACTGAATCACACACATGAAATATTACACATAAATAATGTCTTCTAATCACACGTTAAATCTTCACAGGCCGACTTCTAGTTCTTCTTCAACTACGAACACCTTGCTGCGCTTGCTTGTTCGCATGTTTCTGCCGCTGTTATTCAGTCGTAAGTACCTTGAGCGAATTTTGTCAATTATATAGCCGAGGAACGGACACGCATCACAGGAAACACATGTCACGTGACCACCACTTACCGCTGCGTGACGTCACCGCGGACATGTAATACGAAGCCTCCTGTAATGTTGCTTGCACGTATTTCGGACATGGCCTAGAGATGTAGTTTGTTGTAACATGTTTACAGAACTGTGGCCTGGCAGTGGGTATTCACATTACAGTGTATTATGGCACCTGAGCTCGTTTCAACGTCGTACTTCATAAATTCCTCCTCTCAGTATCATCAACGTTACGGCCTCTCAAACAGGTTTCAGGGCGGAGCAATGTGATATGATGTCTGGCAATCGGAATAATGAAGAAAAAAGATTTGACCTTTGCTTTGTAACGGCTCGGTAATGACGTTCTTGAGGCAATGAATGCACGCAACAATATCAATACTGTTGGCACGGTGTTTTCTATCCGGTCCATGCCGAAGGCAATCATAAATTTTTGATAACAGGAAAGTAGGCGATGAGATCTTCACAGATCTTGTTACAATTATACAGATCTTAGTTGGCAAGCGTGACATGTTATACGAAAGATACAGTGTATGTTGGAAGAAATTTAAGAATATTCAAGTAATTTTCTTCGTCAAAAAAAACTGGACCTGTAATTTTTGTGAGGTTCTGTTATTAGATCATTTTGTTCTGATGTTGTGTGCAACATCGAATTGCAATAAGTGTCGCGCACTCACTCAAGGATCAGTGGATGCCAGAGTCGACACTGGTGTCCTATTGGGGCGTTGGAATGGTGACGTTTGGTATTCAAGCGCTACCAACTGCTGTACTTACAATGTTGCTGGGACAGTGGTTGACTTGTGCGCCGAACCAAGTTTTGAAATGACACCAGGACATGAGGAACTCGATCTGTGCTTTCATTTGCGTATCTCGAGCACATTTATTTCTGCAAGGGGGGAGGTGGTGGAACTGGAACTCGTCGAAATAATATTTTGAAATCTGTTTACGTGATATAAAACCCACTGCTCTGCGATCACAAAGGTAAATCCGGTTAGTGATATTGTTGAAATAATAGCTAAAGTTATCACCGGGAAGACCTAGACGTAGATTGTAGAATAATATAACAAGATGTTCTGGGTAGAATTAATTGTCTCTTTTCCTTTCAATCCAGTCTAGGAAATTGGCGCTGGTCCTCGCCAGCACAATCATTTTTGGTTTCGAGACCCATTACAATGTTTTTTTTTTCAGCCTTTTAAGCGTTTTGAAATGGGATGTATTCTTCGACGAGAGTTAGAGTCAAAATTACTTTGCGACTGGCG